AGGTATAGTATATAACAGGATAGATATATACAGATATAACAGCACTTTTATTTAACTTACCACGATCCTCCTGGTGCTTTCTCTCTGTGTCTGTGGACAAAAAAAAAACAGAGCCAATCTCATCAGACTGTCCTGGGAAACAAACGATGCCCCAACAAGCATACCAAGCAATGAAAGCAGGAGTTACACTGTACTGCTTACCAACGATGAGTTCAGTACTGCAGGAGATTCGTTCTCTTCCAGTTCCAACAGAGCAGCTGTACGCCCCAGCGTCAGTTTTACCCACTGATGAGATCTTCACTGGGAGTTTCCCTTCCGACAGATTCACACTGCTGTCAGGAGATGCTCTGCCTTTGAATCGCTCTCCCTGGTCAGCAGGAGAAAAACCCCGATTCCTGTAAACAAGGACGAAGTCGGTCTTGTTCAATATCCATTCAACTGTTTTGCGCGTCACATCACGTCGAAGCTTCAAGTGGCAGTCCAAAGTGACGTCCTCTCCCACTGCTGCTACAACCGGGCTCGGCTGGCACGTCAACAGGGCCCTTTCTGTAACGAGACATAAAATAAAGTCATCTCCAGTCATCCAAAGCACAAGCAGGGTCAATATATATTTAATGAAGTGAAAATACTTCCCTCCATTTATCAACGTTTTTTTTAATCTTGTTTAAAAAAGTGGGTTGGTTTAACGAAAAGAAGAGTGACGGAGTGAGATATGGTGGATACCTGATGATCTTTAACATCTGACACCCTCCAGATTCAACAGAGTGATATCTGCAGGTACAGAATATAACAGGATAGAGTAACAGCACTTTGATTTACTTACCACGATCCTCTTGGTGCTTTGCTCTGTGTCGTGGACAAAAAAACAGAGCCAATCTCATCAGACTGGGTCCTGGGAAACAAACAACGCATTGTGACATTCCAGAAGTTGTAAGAGTTTAAATTCATGAATTAATGATGCTGTGTTGCTTAGATACGAGAGAAACGTCATCAGACAGCGCCACCGCCTGTCTTAAGTCTCAACTCAAGAGCAACTGGGCTTAATAAGGTTGATGTGTTAGTAACAAACGACACATTGTGGAATGAAGAGCAAAGGCCACAGGAGGGATATCTGCATGTACATAATAAATTACAGTAAAGACAGCACTTTAGTTTTACTCACCACGACCAATTCTTGCCTTTGCCTTTGGCTCTGTGTCTGTGGAAGAAATACAAGATAAATACAAATAAGAGGGAGATATGGTGGATACCTGAGCCGACCTGGCAACCCTAAAGCTGTACTACACACTGTCAGGACTAAACAGGCCAATCTGAAGCAGTTGGTATCATTGGTTTATTTATGGAAGCGTAGAGCTTTTACCAAAGAGGGAATATCACAATCTCTTTCATATTGATGAATTAATACCAGAACTTCAGTATAGCACTCCTTAAGCCTTAGTCTTAATTAATATAAAACCTTTTCTTATAATTACAAGCAAACAATGTCATGGTAATCGTCTGGTAATGATGATAAACCCGTAATAATGCTCTCTTTGGTAAATGCACTGCGCTTCCTTACTTTGTGCATTGTGCTTAGTAAGTAAAAGGAAAAGAAAAGAAAAGGTTCAATAAAATGTTATGGTATGTTTGTTACTGAAAGCAGTAAAATATAAGTGGGTGGTGATGGCATTAAAGGATAAATACAAAATAAATGAAGCTAATTTGGTGGCGTATTAATTAATGTATAACTGAATTAACATTCCTTAATTGATGATTAAGTATGAACTAATTCAATCGATCATTTGTTAATAGGGAGGAACAGGATGGATCCTGCATTACATTCAAGTATTAAACCATGAGTCATGCATTAGTTAATTATTATTTAAGTGGCCTGTATGATTTGGAGCTTCATTATAAAGTGTGTAAAGTGAGTTTATTTATTTATCCTATAAATAGTTTGGATCAGCAGGTTGAACCACACCGTACCTTTAGAGTCAGGCTACGCTCTCTAAAACA